TGCACTGCCCTTTCCTCTTATACTTACTCAAGCATTTGTGTAGCGACGTGGTTCAGGGGATTAATCTGGCTGAAAAATAGTAAATGCTTTTAGGACTGGCTTTTTCAGTTTGCGTTTCCCAATCTGGTCAGCTGTGTGTCCGTGTGAGTGTCCATAGACTCATTCTAAAAAGAGAGGTGGCGATTTCTTAAACTAGTTAAGCTGTAGCAGTGCTACCTGGTGGCAAACTATCACCTCTGTGTCTAGCCAGACAGCTAAAGCCTGCCGTTTTCCTTTTAACTGATACCTAGAGCATCTCTGGGTCCACTGACATGTATTTATGTGACTTGACGCATGTGACCACTTGTGACAAAAAGATCTGGAATAGAGCTTTACTGATACAGAGTCCAAGATGTTCAAACCTCTAGTCTTGCAGAAAGTTTGCCCTGGGAGGAAGAGGAGCTGTAATCAATTTTGTTTAATTAAATCAACTTAAGCTAATTGTCAGTTAATAAAAAAGCATTGGTCAGCTCATAAAATAGAAGTCAAGATTAAAAGAGTAGTTGCCATGAACAGGTGGTAACTCTGTTTCCAAGTTAGACCACATTACTCTCTGGCACCAGATCCCTGAGAATACATCTTCCAGTTTAAAAAAATGTTTATGAAACTTGTAAAATATAGGGCTCATTTTATAACCAATTTTCTATCTCACCTGCCAAGAGCAGTGGGGGTTGAGCCAGCACAAGGCGGATGCAGAGTTTTAGGCAGCTGTCCAGAAATGGAGTCCCTGAGCGGTGCTGTGGAGTACATTTCTACCTCCGATTGGCCTTTCTTTTGCAATTCTTATGATTTAGTTTTCTCTTTCTTGTTGCTGTTACAGAAAAGACATTGTAAGCATCGTTTGATGTCATTGATCTTGGCCTGGTACTGTTGTGCAAAGGGAGAAGCTTGCTATGCTGCACTGTGTACCGTGGCTGTGGTTTAACTCTAGATGGCTCTTGAGTTAATAACAGGATCCCTCTGGATTTGGCCCTTGGTATTTCTGCTGACTCTGCAGTTCTTACAGGAGGCATAAAACATTTATCTAATTTTAACTGGAAAGGACTAAACTGAAATCTTTATCTACTCCTCAAAGTGGAAGCAGAAACTTGGTGGTTTGTAGTTGCTCTTAATGGTGGAATAACCAAAGATAATTTATTGCATAGTGATTATTATATTATTCAGTTAATAGTGCAGAACTATGTAATTCTGAGAATTTTGCTATGGCTTGCAAGTAGTCTACACTGATGAAAGACCTTCTGTCGAGTCCTGGCTTGTTGCAGTAGTGATGAGTTACATCTCATACCCACTTTTTGTGACCGTCCATTCCCAGAAATCTCATGCAGGATGAAGTAGGTTGGTCTTGTGTTAAGTCCCGATACTTGATTTAGGCACTAAAAGACTAGATTAATTTCCTTTTCCTCCTCAGTCATCTTCTCTCAGGGAGTTCAGCCACAATGCCTTGAGCTGCACTAATACAACTATTTGGTGGAGCTCTGGCAGCAACAACAGTCTCATTTAAAAGGGGACAATCTTAGGAGAACTCCCCACCTGAGAGCTAATAGAGCCTTGCTGGTGTGGGTGGTAGCATGGAGCTTCAGAAGGAGATCCAAGTCCTCTCACTCTGCTGGAAGGAGATTGGAATTGAATTTAGAGGGGTGAATCCCACATATTATTGCTTTATTTCACTGGAGGAGAAAGTTAGAGTCTGTAAAGGTATCTGCTAGAGAGCAGTGCATTGTACATCTCTTTTTCCTCTCTTATCGTCGTCTGAGATGCAGTCAGTGACCGTGTACTTTAGTGATGCAGCTCGGCACTCTCTCTGCACGCTGCTTGGAAAAGCATGGGCGATCCCATTGCAAGGGAATGAAAAGTTGCATCCCAAATGCAGACTGGATGCATGATGGTGGGATGGGGCAGAGGGACAGGAAAAGAGGAGCTGGGCAGGGACACAGAGTACAAAGGGGAGGGAGCTGCAGCTCGCTTGCTCCCCCTCATGAGTCTGCACATTCATGATACCTTAGTTATGATCAATGTGACTGTTGTGGCTTTTCTGTGGACACTGTCTGACTAGAAACCCTAGCCACTAGGCCTTTCTCTGACCTCATTTTCTTGACTTCTTGGTTGGTCAGGGATCTCCTCAGTACTGTAGTTTTCTTGCCTGCATGGAGCCAAGCTGCTCGATTGCTGGTAATGGGCCACAAATGTCTCGACAGAAAGAGGTGCTGGAGAGGTGGCTCTGACCTCCTCCTTGAGCATTGTTGTTCAGTGTTGCCATATCGAAGGGGCTGATGAGAGAGTGGTGATCATTTTTGGCTTTGAGCAAGACAAAGGCTTTGTGAGCTTGTAGGCTACAGCAGCTCGTTTGGGGTTTTGACCTGATTTGCATTTTCTGTCGCATGTTACTTTGGGACCTCAGGTTGGCCAGACTTTTAGGTGAAGTTCAGCCCTTGCCTGTCTGCACTCCTTGTGTGTCCACTGTGCCCTTCCACGAAATGGAGGGCAGCTACTGAGCTCCAGCAGAACTAAGAGAGATGTGCCTGCAATGCCTCTTTTGGCTGACAGCTGCCCTGGATAACTGGGCTTTGCTCTGCTGCCTCAGAGAAGGCAAAGGCAGGAGGTTCCCCTAGCTGCTGCCTTGGAGCGAAGGGGAAGATGCTAGAGATATAGCCCAGTCCTTACCCAATTATGCGTCTGCAGTAGCAAAAACAGGAAACAAAAACTTGAATTGTCTTCTCTGAAGCATGGCACTGCCATGACTTAGGACAGGGGTCTGTAACCTATAACAAGAGGACCCAGAATTAAAACCTATCAAATTTGGAAAGGGTCGTGAAGTGAGCACTGCAGGATCTAGAGAGAGGTTTCTGTGAGAGCCTGGGACCTCTCTGTGCTGGGTCCTGCTGAGTTTTTTGGGAGGTTGCAACTGCTGCCTCGCATAGAAGCAAAACCAGCGCTGACCATAGAATAGGAAAAGTCTTGCCTCTTTAAGAAGGACTGAGTTTCTACTGTTGTGTTCAAGGTGAAGCTCTGGTCCAGCCAGGTTGCTGCCGCTGGCTTAGGATGCATCCCAGGTCCTCACTTGCCTGCTCTCCTCTGCAACCGGAGATGAGGTTGCAGCACTTGCCGGCATAGTTTAGAGCCAACTAGCATGGCTATGCAAGGCCTGGCCTTCTCCACATGGGGCTCCCAGCAGCCAGTATTGCCTCACTGCTCCCAGCACCTGCTCTGGCTGGATTAGGAGCAGTGTGAGTGGTCCAGCACACTGCAGTTGTTCAACTGAGCATAGCCATGGTGGGACCTTACAGGAAGATCCCCTTGGGTCCCTGGTCTGATTCATGGGGTCCCTGCAGAATGAGCATCATGTGAACCCCAGCTTTTGGATTCAACCATCTGAAAAGGTTCCTCTCACTGAGAATCCCGTGAGGGCTTGGCGGCATGTTCCTCTGAGGCATGGTTTCCTTAAAAAGAAAACAAGACAGGGTTGGTCTCAACCAGAGCAGTTTTCCATTTATCCACATCTCCCACGCTTACCCCAACTTTATGTAATCAACTGCTGGGAGTCACACCAGGAGCCAAGTCTGTATTTATCCGTTTCTGCTGCTTGTGTGCTTTAAAGCTTGAGATGACACAGAAGAGCTGGAGGAGTATAAAAGCATCAGTCCTCCAAATGAACTCTTGTGGGTTTTAGTATTTGAGGGTCTTGGGGGTTTCCAGTCCTCTTTCAGACTTAAACTGGTGTAATTGCACCAACATCTCCCATTACTCCCAGGGAAGATAAGGAATAGGACAACAAGCAAGGCTGCTGTTTGGCTTTTTAACCACATGCACAAAACCATCTAGGACCCCACGCTAACAAAAACCATATTCAAAGCAATTATCTGATTTGTTTGTTTGTTTTTAATATGATGTTTCTAGACACTGGTACAACAAACACTCTATAAAATCTTGTAACAGTTGTTTGTAGTTAGTATGTTCAAGATGGTTATGTGTATTCTGGTCATGACTAATATACATCACTTCAGCATGACCCTCATCCGCCAGTATTGTGGGAAATTTTTGGTACCAAGACAATTATTTCCTCAGCTTGTTTAGCATTCCTCCCCCTCCTCCCCCCACCACCTTTTTACCCTTATATGCAAGAAAACATAGATAGTGGTTTGCTCATCTGTTGTGCTTTCCAGAGGAAAGTGCTTTGTGGTTCACAGGCTTAAATAATTAAGTCTTCACGGACCTCAGCGTGGTTTATAAAAGCGGTTGGAGTCTCTGCTTTTCCAGAGGGAGACAGAAAGCTCTCTAGAGGCAAGGTAACTAGCCCAGCTCGTGAGCTGGCCCTGGCAGAGCCGGGGCAGACCTGGTTCCCCAAAGCATACTCGAGCTCGCTGAGCATTAGGAGATGCTGCTGCTGCCCACCCTACTAAAGCTCTTTCCGCTCCCCGCTTGATTCTTTCTCTTTTTTATCACAAACTTGTGTTTTAGCATAGGCAATGGCCGTTGGGCAGGTCCTGGGTTCTTCCTGCAGTGGCTCGGCCAAAACGATGACTGCTGTGCTCCCACCTTGAACCCGGGGCAAATTTCGCGTTGCAGCGTGCAGCTGAGGCAATGACTGCCGTTATCCAAAAAAAAGCCTTTTACACTTAACCGGAATGGAGTGGCGCAGCCTGTTTCATTCATTAGATTTTTCTGCGGTTGTATTTTTTGGAAGCATCATTTCCAATAGAGGCACGGGGCTCTTTTACGGGCTTATTTCAGCACTTTGAAAGCACGAGTGTGTGCATATGTGCCTGCATGTCTGGATGTGGGTGGGAAGGGGGGGAGCGCTGGCAAGCGCACAAAAGAGCCGCGAGGGGAGAGCGAAGGCGCTTTCATTCCTGACCAAGTTTTGCTCCGCAAGCTGAGTAAACTTTTTTGTTGTCGAAGCAACGCTGTGCGGGGCAAGGATTTGACACGTTCCCAGTGGTAATTGCCTTGTCTCCCCCCCGCAGGTTCATCTGGCCGGCAGCACCGTTACTTTTCCAACCTGGACCGTAAGTGGGCACCTTAAAAATCAGATAAAAGCAGAGCCTAATAACGAAGAGGTGGGGGAGGAGGGGGTGTGGACCCTGCACTGCTGGAGGTCCCTTGCAGGACTGGCCCAGCCAGGCTGCAGGGTGCTGGCTTGTGTGTGTGTGTGTGTGCGTGCGTGGTGGGGGGGATTGGTGAGCCTCTGCCTTCTCTTTGCCTCAGTTTCCCCCAAGTACATGGAGGAGGAGGAAAGGGGAGCTGCAAACGCTCCACTTCTCTCAGGTTTAGGAAATTCCTCAAGTAGCAAAGAGTGCCTGGGAAGGGTCACCCGTACTGGTCCAGGTCTTCTGTGGATGTCTGTCTAGGTTGCTGCTAGAAAGGAGACACCAGGCTCCACCGGCCCTTGGCCTGTCCCAGGGTGGCTGTTCTTCTGTCCTCCCGGGAGTTAAAATCCACCCCCAACACATGTTTTTCCTAACCTGTATAACAAGGGTAATGCTCCCTGTCTGTCTTTGGTGGTGGTGATGTCGTGGAGAAGCTCCAAAAAAGGCATCTGGGAGGCAAGGTGGCTGTGACCTTGTTTGCAATTGTGGGCTTACCCGCAAGGAAAACAGACTTGCCAGCCTTGGGCAACCTGGAGCCTGGTGTCCCGTTACGACTGAGCATTTCCATCCATGACCTTTATCTTGGGGACTGCGAATAGAGGCCCCCAGAGAAAACTGAGTTGAATTGGCTTTAAAGATTGAAAGTGAACCATCACTGCTTAGTGGCTTGCTAGTGTGTCAACTGTACATCTCCAAGCTGATGGTAAAAGTAGCTTGTAAGCGATTGAGTGCCTGTGCAAAAGCCCATCCAAGGTTTTAAATTTGACTGTAATCTCTGATGATGGTTATTCAATGAGCACCTGAGATTTACCCAAGAGTTGAAGAGCCTTTATACCTAATGGCCATGTGCCGGTTTTGTTGTAAATGAAAAACTTGGGATCTTAGAAGTGGTACATGTGCTGAGCAGATGAGTTACTCCAACAAGGCTGTTTTTGTGAAGGCCTCAGTGGGACCAGCAAGGGTGTGAAGGGCTGAAGGACTCGCGCTGATCTCCTTAGTAAGGAGAGCCTTTTTGCTCTTCTTACTGAACACAACCTCTACAGAAAAATAAGTGTCCACAGAGCCCGCAAACTCAAATGAAGCCTCAAATCAGAAGGAGCTTCTGTCCTTCTGCCCATACCAATATTGGAGAGTGCAGGGGTTCATGTCCTTTCATGTGCACTGTTCACATATGTTATAGAACGTGCTGCTGTTGTGCATTTGGCACTGATTCCTTCCCTCGTTATCTGCGGTTGTTCAGCGTATAAGGAGCCGTTTGTCCCACGCACAGCTGGAGTGGGCGCTGGGCAAGTGTGGCAGAGGTGGCAGCCTCAGCCAGCTGTGCCTCTGGACCTGCTGCGGTGAGCCACCCGTGCAGGACCCATTTCCCAGCACTTGCTGCAGAAACAGGAGGACATTTGGAGTGCACAGAGACTTCAGAGCTTTCCCTGAAATTCTCAGTTCTCATTGTATCAGGAAAAAAATTGATGTCTGAATAGAAAAGTCAGTCCTAGCCTTCTGGGAGTGAAGGTTCCTCCAGTTGTTACGTTTATTCTTGTTCTCCCCTTGCCTATTCTATTCCATGGCTGAGGACGCTCTGCTTGCTTCTCTCCAATACTTGGACTTTGCCTGGCATACGAATGCACTTTTTACTGTGTTGACCCTCACACACTGTGCTCTTGGAACTGCCATGTGGAGGGGCATGTGGGAGGTGTCGTGTGAGCGGGAATTATATCCGCATATTCTGAATTCCTGATTATTGGCCCAGCTGCAGGGCAGTCTTGTTTCTGGGTTTTTGTTTGTTTGTTTGTTTTTTGATTCTTATTTTTTGTAACTTCTTTACTGTCAAGTCCCTTTTTCCTTACCGGCGTGATCCCCTCTTGGCTTCTGCCATCTCTAGCGTGAAGAAACTGTTGTAAGGTGTCTTCAGCAGACCCCAGTTTGGGTGAAGGTTTTCTGCTCCTCTGGAGTTCCTCTGCAGTTTTTGTCCGAGGCAGGTGATTTGGTTCCTTGGTCTCTGCTTTGTGCTCCAGGTTCTCCCTCACAATGGCTGTTCTCCTTTCACCGTCTGCCTTGTTCTTTGGCCATACAGGGCACAGAGTGGTTCTTCTCTGTGTGCATCTGGAACCTTTGAGGAGACAAGATATTATATCAATTTAAAATGCAGTTTGTTCCATTGCTCACTTCTGTGGCTACACCTTTAAGGTTTTGTCCACACAAAGTCTAACTTGGGCTATTATTCTTTTGCTAGCTTGATGATGGGGGTTGGAGGATATTGGCTGGCCTTTTTTTTTTTTTCTTTTTGTCTGTGCAAGAAATCCTCCTCATCAACAATTTGGTTTAGGATTTCCCTAGTTATCGTGTGCTTAAAGATATTTCCTTCTATGGTTTGCTTTTAGTCATTTAGCCTCCAGATGATCCACTGATTTTTAGGATGTAGACTAGACTCTTTGGAAGCATGGCCAGGCAGCAAAGCAGGGATGTATTGCCCCTCATGCAGTTGGGACTCTGAGGTATGAGGAGAGATGAATATTCGGAAATGAATACTGGAATTGGCAGGAGAGAGTCCGCAGCTTCCCTGAAGACCAGGTAACTAGATTTGTGCAGGGTAGGATGTATGTGGCACAACGTGACATCACGGTTTGCTCTCCTTTATAGACGGAAACATGCCAGATAAGTAAAGAACAGGTACACCAAGGGCAGGAGCGCTGTCAAGTCAGTTCCTTCCAGCTTCAGCTTTCACTAACTTTGATAGAAGCAGGACCAAGAGGGAATAAAAGAGATCTGAAAATTAGGGCTGTTTTAAATTGGAGTAGAGGTCTGGCTGCAGATGCTCTTCTATCTTTTCAGGCTAAAGAAGTTGAAACTTTTTAATGCAAGTGCCTAAACTGCTTAAATTTTTCATGGACTTTTTCTACCCCTTGGTGATCTGCTCCCCTGTACCTTGGGAGCATCACTCCAGGCATCCGGTGATACTGTTTGGGGCAGGATGGGAAGGTGATGTGGTGTTATGCTTGCATACTGCAAGTGCTTCAGAAATGTGAGTTGCTGTTGTATATCTAGAAGATACAGAAAAGGCTGACTGTTTTCTGTAACACTGTAATGTTCCTTATAGGCTCATAACTGCTACAGTATAGAGAGATCTACAAATGCTTCTGGCTGTGCTCAGACAATTGTAAACCCTACCCAAGGTGGATGTCTCTGCCTGGTGTTTTCTGTTGGCTGTTTCTAGGTATTCAGTCCATCAGAAACTTTAGTTTCAGGGCCTAAAGTGGAATTTAAACTATCTGAATATAGTCCTTTGTGTCAAATCAAATGATTTGTTAAAGCGAGGCCAGATTTGCAGGGAGAATCAATCTTTTTTATTAGATCAACTGATGTGGAAAAAGCAGACAAACTTTCAGGCATATTAACCCTTCTTCTGGTCTGCGTTTGCATTACAAGAAGAGAGGGACCCGTCTGCACAGGGGAGAGTGCACGTTAGGGTGTGAGTCCACACCAACTCTTCGTGGACAGCCTTGGTCTGAAGGCAGACCTGGGTGGCATTCTTGGGCTTACCTGCAAGCCTGATCAGGGAAAAGACTTGTCTCCCTGTGTGTTTGCACGCTAGATGTTACTACACAACAAATATATAATGGTCTCTGCTCTGCAGCTGACTCATTGTGCAAGTCTGGGGCTAATTACTGAATCCCTCTGTGCCTCAATTTCCATCTGTAAAATGTCACAGATGCCCACCATTCATAAATCGCTTTCAGATTTCCAGATGAGGTGCCGTGTAAGTGTAGAATAGTGTTAGTTTATACATATTGTGCTAGAGCATAATATAAAACACATGCAACCGAAGAGCCTTGCAGATGTGGTTCTTTCAACTGCAAAAGGCAAGGCCTCGGCTGATGATTTAGCACAGCATTAATTGGGCTAAAATGGGAGATTGCTTTTGTACTGATGCAATTGTCACCATTAAAGTCCTCATTTACCAACAGTTTTTGGAGATAACCCAGTTATTTCCTATTGAGAGAAACTGTAGTGTCTTGGGTCTCGAAACACAGCCATTTGTAGCAAATGTCGACATTTTTATAGCAGCCCCCACACTGGCTGTCCTCACACTTCTGGAAGGGGACTGCTGCATTGTTTATTTTGAATGTGCATTTTGCTTGTCCTGTAGCTACGCTTAGCACTTTTTTGTTGCCTGCAACCTTTTGGGCATATCCTAATCTCAAAGCAGCATTTGACCGAGTCATTTCCATTGCCATTACTGGGTGTTGCATACACAGGAATCCCCATTTATTGATAAGAAAGCTGTTCCTGTGGCTGCAAAGGAAGGAGTGCCTGGCAGCTGTTCAGCATTAAGTCAATTCGCAAAGTTTAAAGGATTTGTGGGCTGTGATTGTTTGGGTTTGGGCGATTAACTTTCGTGAAGTGCTTGAGACTGTCTTCCAGATGCATTTCATGGAAGAGGATGAACTTAAACCGGCTAAGAGATTTGATTTGTTTAAGCACCTCCAAGTTTCCTGATCGTGCTGCTGGGGCTCAGTTCTCAGTGGCTATAAAACACAGGAGCTCCTTTGGCTGCAGCAGAATTGGGGTTGCTCCTACCATCTGCAACCTGGCCAGGTGTACGCGTGAGACTGGGAAATGCCAACATCCCTGTTGTCAGAGGCTGTCCTCTAGCCGTGTGATTTTTAAATCCCTGATCTGAGCTTATTTGTCAGTGTATTTGTTGTCTGTTGCTCAGAAATAATTATTGATGTTGAGTGGTTGTGGGAAGACGGCATGGGGTTGGGGGGAGTGAAGGTATCTCAGGAGATATCCGGTTCCTGCTCAGTGTTTTGCAGACAAATTGCACCATTCTCCCATGTTTGTCCATTTTGGCCTTGGAGCCTCCCTGTTCCTCATCAGTGCTCGGAGGGAGGGTCAAAATTCGTTGTCAAATCCTCTCC